GAGATCTGCAACCCTTGGTACCGCAAAGCGGAGCTTTCGCGAGCTTCTAGTAATCGACGCAGAACTTCCCAGACGTCTCTTCCTGTAGATGGGGCATCTAATTAGTGCACTAGATCACACGGCGGGGGGCAGAGTTGGGGCAGTTAGGAGTAATAGTGTGAGGAGCATACCGATGCTGCTCATACCAAGATTCCTAACCCTCCAATTTTGAGTGGATAGTCTGCCGCTTGAGCACGCTGAGGCATCCGCCAAGCACCGAGGATTTGTCCATGCTCACATACATGGAATATGAGATCTGAAGCAAGGAACGAGGGGTTTCACCAGCATGCAGATAAGTGAATAAGAATACATCACCACATACCCTGCCTTTCGAGGCGACTTGTCTGCCCGATCACATCGCACATGCTGGCCCATCATTGCAACTGGCCCGGTGTATGTAAGGAAACAGTGAGGGGCTACAAGCACAAGGCTGCCGACACAAATCTAGAATACTAGATGTGATATGACGGCAGACATCCCCCCCAACGACCGTTTGCCGGATGCAGCACAGCAACGGGAACTCACCTCGGGCCGCACGCGGTCAGGGCTGACCATGCAAAGACCTCCCCGCCTACCAAACTATGCCCCATCTCCGACGCTCTCCTCTTCCTCCTCCACCTCCTGCCGTACATTGTCCCGGACACTCCCCTCGTCGCTCGACAACTGCGATCCCCTCACCAGTGACTCTGCTGACCGGTTCGCTGTCCTATGCGGCGACCAGCAGCACGAGGGACCTGTCGGAAACATCGTCAGCTGCGCGCCCGGTCATACACGTCCACAGGCGTACCTCGCAAGCCGTCCACGGTCGTCACAAGTCACAGCGCACCTTCCAGGACGCGCCCCGCAGTGAGCCAGGAAGATGAGCTGAAGCACTCATACGGTGAATAACCTGTCTCGAGAATGTGAGTAGCTGCTGACGGCTTTCATCCAACAGAGGGTCTCCCCGGTTGCCCGATGACAGGCCCGGCCACAGTTGCACCATTGTGTTCGCACGGGCCGGGGACACATTCGTCGTGAGAATCGGAGCACCCTGATGTCGAGCGGCCACCCCCCGGAGCTGCAGATGACTCTCGAAAGGGTATGAGGCTTACTTGTGTGTTCTATCTGCGCTCTCCTTGTAGCTAACTTCCGCCGTAGCACCTGCGCAACAGCAGACCACAGTCTTCATCTGGCAAGAGTCTCGAACTTGAAGGTGCCGGATGTGTCCCTCCGCTTTACCCGCAAGAACGGGATGCACACAGAGTGGGTCGGGAGCATGCAGGGCACGCTGCGGGGGTTTGCGAGTACGGCGGCAGGGTGAGTACACATTCCAGATCCGGGTGACGGGCACTCGTTGATTATTTCACAGGACTCACGCAGGACACCCATAACGACGGACGGCAGCCAGCTTCGAACACCTCGGACATCCCGCTCACCTCTTCGACTCCCCACCACGAGCTTAGAGCGGCCGACGAGGAGCACCCGGCGCCGTCCAGCAATACCGGCATAGTACACACCGCGACCTCCGGAGCACGTTCAAACGGCGCCGCGAAGTGCCTGATGCGAACGTACACGGCCATTGCCACCTCGCGAGTGCACGGAGTCTCCGCGACTCCGCGAGACGGTACGCACGATGGATATGCTCGGGATGTCGCACGGCGAACCCCTTGTATGCGAGCAAAGTGCGACTCAAGTCCGATTTGTTGCCCGATGATTATCGAGTGAGGACTGTCTCTCGTTCCGGATATGGGCGCTCCCGAGCTGACTTACCAGATATACCTAGTGCATGCTCGCGCACTCGCGACTTTCGAACGGACAGGCACGCAAGGGCTCCCCACGCACTCCGGCCGGCAGCAAGTCATATGAGCTCTCCCACGGAGGTGTCGCGACGTCCACCGCATCATCAGTGCTTCCACTCCGGGAGGGCGCGCGGTATGCACAAGCGTGCGTAGCATGCGGGCGGCGCAGCAAACGCGCGCAAAGGAGATGCGGTACGTACCATTTGGTCGTCTGCGGAATCCAGCACCTGATTGACTTTCCCGGCGCGACAGATGTCAGAGCCCACTAGTGAGAGTTGGGGGAGTGCGCTGCCCGCTAGAGCAGTCCCAGAGCGAAAGAGGCAGGAGACGGTCGTGGCGCCGAGAGAGATGCGCGGGCGGGACTTGAACGGTTCTCACTCTGTCGATATAGGCGCCCGTGTCTATCTGGACGCGCCGAGCGTCCCGCCGCCGCCGAAGGCCTTGCGCTGTTCCGCGAAGCGAGTGCATCCTCATTCGTGCGACCTCTGTACCGACAGCGTCGACGGGAGGATGCATATCACAATTGTGGTGTTTCCATAGAGGGACTTGGGGCTACGGCTGGCGTCCCAGACTGCCTAAAGCGAAAGGTAAGCAATTTCTCCAGGGCGCGCACACATACAGTCAACTTACCGTATTCACGCAGCACCGGCGCAGTGGAAAACTGCAGCCTCCTGCCGAGAACCCTAGACACGTCGGACGTCTCCATTCGCGCGGAGTCAGTCTCGGTCGACGGCGATGGATGCATACTTCCAGCGGAAGCTCTGCTGCGACTCTGAGGTGAGCGGTTTACCTGTTTGGAGCTTGACACCGGTCGACTAATATTACGGTACGCCCGCGCCGACAGGTCTAGGACGTCCCGGACGCCTCGGACCGCTTCCGCTCGCGATTTCGAGCTCCCGCAAGCTCGTCACGGCGGACGGAATGAGTTGCAAAGTCAGCGGCACGAAGTCTCAAGTTGGAACCCCCCTTCCGCGCAACATGGACGCGGACGGAGATGGTACGTACCGTGTCTCCATCACGGACATCCCAGCTTACCTGTACGGCTGGCAAACAGCGAATTCGACGTCGGAGGGAGGAGGGACGCTGTCACGGCGTCGAGAGCAGCTCCAGGGCGACAGTGGGAAGGCGATGGCTGACGGCACTTGGTCGTGGTCAAGAGAGAAGAGCGGCGGCGCGGGACTCGAGCTCTGTTTCGAGCAGTGTCATAATAGGCGCCCGCCCAACCCATGAAATTCACTGTCTGTGCCGCCGCCTTTCTGTCTTTGCGCGCGCGCGGCGCCGTAGTACTGTCCGTAGCACTTGCGAGGAATACCATGATTTTCACGCCCCTTCGCGAGCACAAACAGAGCACGAGAACAAGCCTCCGAGTCCTCCGAGTCCCTCCCCTCCTGCTGCTCCCCAGTCCCCCTGGGCGCGTAATCAGAGCCCAGTGCGTTATAAGAGCCCAGTATTCTCGTAGAGTCCGTCATTCCATCTGGGAGATCCAAGTGCGCCCCGAGATGCCCCACGCGAGATCCTCGTCCGCACCCCAGATCCACGTCCGCGCCCGCGCGCCAGCTCAACTTGTCCCCCGCGCGTGCACTGCCACCGCGCGCGCCCTCTCCTCCTTCCATGGCCAGCCCGCGACAGCCACGCGCGCGACTCGCCCACGCACGTCTCAGCTGGCGGCGGAGCTACTTCGCGGCCCAGCGGGGAAACCCCTAGGAGCCACGGCAACAGCTCCTCCAGGCGCACCAAGGACGGTCGTGACGCCCGCGATGTGTACAGGGAATACCTCGACGAGCACCACCCGTCTCCCGCTCGTCGTCAACCCACCACCAAGCGCGCATTGCCCCCGCCCCAACCCATCTTTGTTCCCGACAGCGAGCTCGACAACGGCAACAACCCGCCCTCGCCGACTGCTGGTGGCCCGGTTTCACCCGGTCTCACGCCCCGTCGTAACAAGTCCATCATGCAGCGAATCCGGAAGATGCGAGATTCGCCGAATGTCCCGGTAGGACAGTACGATGAGGATGACAGCCGCAGGCGCGAGGCGTCCCCCGGAGGTAAGACACACATAACAACAGCGCGGGCCCCCTTCTCGCAAGGCCAGGCCCCTGCTCGACCTTTCCATCGCTCACAAGTCTCATCCCCAGGACGCTACGGACGGTCCAATGGACAATCGTCGCCGTCGGACGAGGCCTTCGTCTACGTTGACCACATCCCCATGCGGAAGGAGAAGTCCCTACCCACTCCTCCCCCGAAAGATGGCTACACCCCGGCCGAGAACCAGAACGGATACTTCGACTCCGAGATGGGT